GTGTGTTTTAATCTAATGGACAGAAACACCTCCAAAGGTGTATAGTCCAAAAAGTGTTTGAACACTTCCTGGCCTCCAACTTGCTTATGAGCAAATACATCATTCAAATGTAGATAGTTAGTGACATGTTTAATTAAAGTCAGTCCACTGTCAACTCCAATACTGGTTTCTTCAGGGAATCATTGCTCAACCTGTCCTCTGTCCCAACTGTAAACTTACTTGTGTCCCGTGTCTCCCATTACTGCCTTTCATTGCACTTTGCAATGCTTATCTAACATGGGAAGGCACACACACACAAACACACACACACAAACATGCACACACCCTCTCAACACGCACCATAAACTGTAGCTGGAGACTGAGGTAAAATAATCAGTATGCCATTTGTCCAAAAAGATGTAACCTCCACTAACTTACTCCTCCAAAACCTGATCTAGCAATTCAGAGGGCAGGAAAAGGCAAACACAGTAATTCCTAAGAGATCTTCATTTTCTGTCTTTAAATTTAAGTAGCTAAAAAGCTTGGTTCTAGCTTGTGCCTGAAAATTACAGAATGGTCAGAGCTATGCAGCCACTCTAATGCAAGAGAATGACAGTCAGGTCTGCTGTGCCCCTCCAAGTGAACCAGCCCTTCAGGTGCTAAAAATCTCACAGGCAACATCCGGAACAGCAGTGTTTATGCCCTCCCTTAGTTCCTTCCTCCTTCCTTTCCCTCCTTCCCACCTTTCCTCCCTCCCTCTCTTTCTCTCCCCCTTCCTCCCTCCCTTCCTTCCTTTCTTCTCCTTTCCTCTTTTTCCTCCCCCCTTCTTTCTTTCAAGACAGAATTTCTCTGTGTAGTCTTGGCTGTCCTGGATCTCACTCTGTAGACCAGGCCGGCCTTGAACTCAGATCCCTCTGACCAGGTGTGATCAAAGGCAGGCATTTCCACACCCAATTGCCAAATGTTTTTTGAACTGGAGGATGAACTTCATTAGAGAAGCCTGACCCCTTGAATTTATCTGTGGCTGATACAGTCCACAACACATTGTCACTCAATAAGAGCTTGTTGTCTGACTGCTAGGCTGGGCCACTTAAAGAATGATCGTCTGACCAACAGGATTTTTCTTCCTTGTTGCCAAGAAAGTGTTGGACTCTAGTGTCCAAACCGAGAAGGAGTCGCCCCCAGAGACCACCTCATACACCACAGCTGATGCAAAAGCATGAGGATTTTATTAATTCTGTCATGACAGGGTCCCTCAGCATTCGGGAAGCTGAGAGACCCCGACTAGCTAGCTGGTACAGTCTACTTTTAAAGGAGAAGGCCCCATAGAAACAAGAGGGGTTGTTCCTTGACCGTTATGATTGGCTTGTTCGAAAAGGGCTAATACCAATAATTGACTGGAGAACTATTGTCAGATCAGATGAGGTAAGAGGTCATTTTGACCCCGTTTCCCAGGGGACTGAATCAAAACATATGTGTATGGGTAATTGTTCAGAAACTGAGTATGTGCATGTGTACCTGTTAGGTCCTTGGTTCCCAGGGGAGGAGGGGAAGCACTGAGGCACAGAGGCTGAGAGGGTTTGGAATTGTCAGAAATGGCTTCAGAATTGTCTAAAATCTTACAAAAGTATTTTGCTTTTGAATTCATGATGGGAAAGGAAGACTTAAAGTTAATCATCAGCTAATCTCGGTTGATTCTGAGTTTGAGATCGGTCAACCTGGGATACCTAGTGAGATTCTATCTTTAGAGAACTGAAAAAACACACAAGACCAAACAAAAACAAACAATGGAAGCCTAACAATTTGAGAAAATTATAAACGCTATTTTTCGTTTTGTTTTTCTAACAACAGGCTATTTGGTTCTCCTGTACCTGGTTTTGGAAATAGACCCCTGTAAGAAACGCTTAAGGAAAACGGAATTCACTGTAGGAGGTTTGGTTTCTGACCTGCACAGACATGAGTTACGTCTATTTCTGGATAAATGGGGAGTTCTTTCTTTTATTAGATAAGTGAGGGCGGCAACCGTTGTACATTTTTCTTTCTTTCTACCTCACCTGAGGTTTAGGTAAAAGTACACAGCTTTTTTCTCCCACCATATTTCTTCAAATGTTTGCCATGTTATTGCCTAGTGTCTACAACTTGCTTTTATTTATTTTTTTTAAATATTTATTTATTTATTATGTATACAATATTCTGTCTGTGTGTATGTCTGCAGGCCAGAAGAGGGCACCATACCTCATTACAGATGGTTGTGAGTCACCATGTGGTTGCTGGGAATTGAACTCAGGACCTTTGGAAGAGCAGGCAATGCTCTTAACCACTGAGCCATCTCTCCAGCCCTACAACTTGCTTTTAAAAAATAATTCTAAGCTGGGCAGTGGTGGTGCACACCTTTAATCCCAGCACTTGGGAGACAGAGGCAGGAGGATCTCTATAAATTTGAGGCCAGCCTGGTCTACAGAGCTAGTTCCAGGACAGGCTCCAAAACTACAGAGAAACCCTGTCTCGAAAAACAAACAAACAAAAATTCTGCACTATTACTTTCTGACTCTAGCACACCAGTGACGGCGTGCCACAGAGGACACGGCATGCAGCCTTTGGGAGCTTGCGGACTTGAAGTCAACGGCCGGAAAGGTCGGATCTGCAAACTTCCAAGTCATATGAAGTTTCAGGGACCTCTTTGTGGGTTGTTATTTTATTTTTTGTTTTTTGAGACAGAATTTCTCTGTATTAAATCCTGGCTGTCCTGGAACTTGCTTTGTAGACCAGGCTGGCATCAAACTCACAGAGATCCTCCTGCCTCTGCCTCCTGAGCGCTAGGATTAAAGGCATGCGCCACCATGCCCAGAAATAAGTACATTTTTTTTGTACTAAATAAAGAGTAGCTCGTTTCTCGTCATGCTGAAAGAAGGTGGGTAGAACTTTGAACAATGAAGTGTTCCAGATGCTGATCTTTATTTTCCATTGTTTTGAGAACATGGGAAAGTAATCTTATTTCTCTCAATTATTTCATCTACAAAATTTAGAGATTAATAATTAAACACACTTTTATTAAGACTATCAATGCATATTTATTTTTGGCAATATTCATGTATTACCTAAGAAAGACCTCAAACAGGCACATGTGCTTCCTAAGAAAACAATGGCTCAGCAGGCTGAGAGGATCATTTCTAGCTTTGACAATCTCGTTTTTGCAGCAGTGATTTAAATTGTAGAATTTTACTAGTGTTTTAGGCATAAATTTATCTTCTATTTCTTGAGGAAATTGAAAATAAAATAATTCACCTTCCCCATTCTACTAAGTGGTTCTAGTGCATACAGAAAAATGTGAAATGGATTACCGCAGTTTAGCTTCAGGGGCACTGTGCTAAAATATGAATACTGGCTGGCTGGTTATATAGCTGAGATGTAAGGAGTGGCTAGCTGGAGCTGGTTGTATAGCTGAGATGTAAGGAGTGGCTAGCTGGAGCTGGTTGGGGAGGCACCCAAGCTGCAGGAGCAAGCTCCCGAGACCAGCTGAGACTCCAGGTTGCAGAAGATTGGTTCTCTGGGGGAGGAACTGGGTTTTGAGATCAGGAAAACAGGAGCTGATGATGCACGTGAAATTGTTCAAATCACAATCCCATCACATGAAAGAAGCGAACAGAGGGCTTTTCCCTGGCCACCTTTTGCTTTGTGACTTTAAACGGAATCTGACTTTGAAAGTGCAGTATGGAAGAAATTGCAGGTTAGAGAATTCTCCGGCTGGATGTTTGGATCAGGGGTGGCATTGTTTTTCTTATTTAGTGATGCTTTTTTTCCACCCACTATTATATTAGTGAAGGAAGCCTCAACCACATTTATCAACTGTTCTTGCATTTCAAGTAGTCCGAATGGTTATATTAGTGAGGGAAACATTTCAACTTTGTCCATTGACTTTTATTGGATTTCAAGTATTTTGGAAGATGATGAGAATGAATAAACACACCTTAATTTTGATACCTGCACAGGAAGAACAACTGAAGGAAGCATGTGTGCCTACAGTCTAAGGAGGTAGAGCGGCAGTGCGGAAAAGCCCTCTGGACCTGCAGTCCTCCAGCATGCACCACAGGCACTGGGAGAACTTTTCTTTCTCTTTCTCTTTTGGACACAAGTTCTCTATATGTATCCCTGGCTGGTCATGAATACAAGATTCTGCATCATCCTTTCCAGTACTGAGGTCATAGCCACTGAGAAATATATTTCTTTCTTTGGAGCTGGCTTTGTTCAACTCTGACTATTTGTTGAAGTCATCAAACTTTAAATAAAAGTAACCGACAGACCCCCAGTAATTTTTTAAGGTTGGCCCTGAACTTGAGAAGGAAAGATAGTTTGCCTTTTAATTTAGCACATATGTCCCATTTCAATCAATGCATTTTTTGATGTATTAGCTCAAAGACTACTCACATTTGTAGCAAATATTCTTAGCTAAAAAGAGAAAAATACTCAATTCTTTATCCTTTACATGAGAATAGATATTTTCCTTTTTTCTCCCTTTATTTTGATTTTTTGAGACAGGGTTTCTCTGTGTAGCTTTGGAGTCTGTCCTGTAACTCACTCTGTAGACCAAGCAGGCCTCAAACTCACAGAGATCTGCCTGTCTCTGCCTCCCAAGTGCTGGGATTAAAGGCGTACGCCACCACTGTCTGGCTGAGAATAAATATTTTCTAGCCTTGACTCACAGAAAGCAGACTATTGTAGCTGAGAGGACGAGACTCGTGGTCCAGTATGTAATCTTAGTTACTTGGGATACAGAGGCAGGAGAATTGTAGTTCAAGACTTGCCTAAGGTGCAGTGAGTTCAAGATCAAGTTGGGTATTTAGTAAGGCCTTGTCTGTAACTGGCGGCATTTCTCCCACCAGTCATTTACCACATTACCAGGCTTAACATTAATTACAAACTATTTGGTCTATTAGCTCAGACTTATTATTAACTAGCCCTTACATCTTAAATTAACCCACTTTTAAAAATTATTATTTTACCACAGGCTCATGGCTTTTTACCTCAAATCTTGCTTCTCTGGTGGTTGCTGATATCTCTCTGACTCCACCTTCTTTCTTTCTGTATCTCTGCTTGGATGTATTGCAGGGCTCTCCTCTGCCTGAATATAGGTCAAATCAGATTCTTTATTAACCAATGGTAATAAAACATATCACAGCATACAGAGGGGAATCCCTCATCACCTGCCTTAAAATTAAACACACACACACACACACACACACACACACGGAGGGCTTGAGAAATGGCTCTCTGGTTAAAGGCATGTACTACCCCTAGGACTCAAATGCAGTTCCCAGTACCCACACCGGATGGCTCCCAACTGCCTATATTTCTAATTCCACAGAAATACCATACCTCTGACCTTTGTGGGCACCCTTACAAAGGTGGGCATACCTGTGTACATATCTGTTCATACAAAATAAAAATTAAACCTTAAAATATAATAAAGAAGTAAAAAGAAGGCCGGGAAAATCGCTCAGCAGTAGAGCAATTGCACATGCCAGGTTTTGAGTCAATCTGCAGTTCAGTGGAAACAAGAAAACAACATGAAAAAGTAGAAGATGAATGATTTTGCTTTCCTTACTTTCTGAAGAGGGTGTCATTTCAGTTGAAGATTAAGGCCAGGACTGTGTAGTGGCTGTGTGCAAACTCTTCCACTAAGCTGTACCACAGGCTTTGGGGGAGTTAGCAGGCACCTAGGCAGGGTAGCGTTCCTCCTTGGTTCTTCTGGTGGAGTTGTGTGATTGCATTTGCTGTCCTGCTACTCCAAAAGCACTTCACATGGATTGCTTGGAAAAGAGGTCAGTTCAATATTTTTTGGGAAATCTCACATCTGGGAGAGGAACATCTGCATGCCTTCATCACCGTGGAGGTAAACACTGGTCACCATGCACGACGAGAACCTTACAGCTCTGGTGATGTTCAAATGACAGGCACGTCAGTAAGTCCCAGAAGCCTATCTCTTTGTGACTTGCTTTTACAATGAAATAACTTGAACACTGAGTCTGCCCCACGTTCTTTAGCACCCGGCGAACTGACTTTGGCAGTCAGCTGCCTCTCAGGACTTGGCTGGGGCCAGGTCACTAAAACAGGCAGCCCAGAAGTCGAGGAGGGAGAATGAGTCAAGCCTTTAGCTAATTCACACTTTCCTTCGGTAGGGATGTGCAGATATTCACATATCAGTTCGACTTCGGTTGCTCAAGCCGAGCCACATGCCACCAGAGAGTGGTAAGTATTAAAGCTGTCTACTGCGCTGTAAGGATGACAAAACACACGCAGAGCGAGCCTTTGCAGGGACAGAAGTTTAGGAGCCTGTAACAATTCACGTAGAACTGGAGGGGACAGAGACTCCTCGAGGGGCTGAGTTCCACTCCACCCTGTGCAGATAGCTGCCCTGCTGGGTCCAGAAGGCACAGGCTGTTGTTACTGAGATAACTGAGAGATTTTCAAACCCGTTCAACTCGCTTGCTCACAGCTAAGCTGGTGCATCCAGACAAATTCAACTGTTGTTCTCGTGGGACTCTCGGTCCATATAGGCTCTCCATAGCACCACTCCTTACACTTCTTAATTCTCCAAGGCCACAGATATGTGTGTGTGTGTGTGTGTGTGTGTGTGTGTGCCTGGACATGTCTATGTGAAGAAGGTCAGAGGTCAATACCATCTTCCTCTCTTGCTCTCCACTTTGTCTTTTTGAGGCAGGATGTCTCACTGGGGCTCACTGTTTCTGCTAGACTGGTTGCCAGGGCTGGGGTTCAGGAGTGGGTCACTGCTCCAGCTTCTGTGGAATCGACAGGGATCTGAACTTGGGGCTCCCATCACAGTCAGGCATGTTGTCTACAGAGCCATCTTTCCTGCTTCTACATTTCCTAATTCTTGTTTTCTTTTCTCAGGACAGGGTCTCACTGTGCAGCTCTGGCTGTTCTGGAACCCACTCTGCAGACCAGGCTGACTTCAAACTCACAGAAATCTACCTGCCTTTGCCTCTGGAGTGTTATGATTAAAGGTGTGTACTCATTTCCTAATTCTTATATGCCACAATTTTGAGTTGTCATCAGTCTCTAAAGTTGATAGTTTTCCTTAAATAAAATACTCATTGGTATCACCTAACAAGAACTACTGAGTGTGGCCATCTCAATTTAGGAAATCTGAGTGAAAGCAGCATCTTACTCCCTGAAGAAATGGAGTGGAATGGCTATTGTGGAGAAGATCTACTTGGCAATGCTGGCCATTTGGGTCTTGGGATTTGCAGCAACCATAGACCAACAAATAGTGCACATAGTGGAGGCAGAGGAGTCAAGGACAGGACTGTAAGTGAATTCGATGATATCTGTGTTCTATCGCAAGGTAGCAAAGGGAGCTGAGAAGCCTGTATGTATATAATAAACGTCTTCATTTACTGTCTGGAGGATGTATTATGATAAGAAAAATGACACAAAGCCGATTTCTGAGTTTGTATTTTTCAAATGACAGTCTTAGTGACTTTTTTTTTTTCTTTTTTTTGGTGGCCGTAATTTTACTCTGTTGTCCAGGATGGTTCTGAACTCAGATCCTCCTGCCTCAGCCTCCACATGCTTGGAATATATACAAGCGCCACCATGTCTATTTTAATGATTCCCCTCTGAAGTCCAGTTCCTGTGTTGTCTGAAGGTAAACAACCTCCTCAGTGTTTCCTTCACTTCTTCCCCCGTTCTCCTCCTAAAACTCCAGTGTCTACACCCCATTCCTCACATTGTTTCCCCTTCAACCCCTTTCACAGTCTCCACATAGACTTTATTGGAAATCTAATTTATGCTACAATGTGTCTTTTAATTATACCTATGTAGCTAAATATTGTTCTGTGAAAATATTAAATGAAAGTGATCCTTTTTGTTTTTAATGCTAGCGTTTTGGTTTTATAGTTGAGCTTAAAGAGTTAGTATATATAATAAGCACATGGATAAACTGAAAAATTTCAAATTCCATCATGCAAGAAGGACCCCAGGGAAAGAGATTTAGCAAGCAATAACAAAAGATGTTGGATTTATTGTGCTCTATTTTTTGAAGCGCATAGCTAAGGCTCAGTAAAAAGACTTCCACAGAGTAATAAAATGCTGCAGCCAAAAGAAATTTGAGAGATGATTTACTTAAAAGTTCTAATACAGGAGCAAAGAAATGGTATCTCAGGTCATATAGACAATTAGCTATATAGTCAACACTGGACTTGAGGCAGAATGAACCACTATTTTATAACAAGTTTATAAAGAACAAGGATAACATAGAACAAAATGTATTATCATAAATATCAGCCACCACATCTGCATTTCTATTGGTCAGTTTTGGAGCAGCTTTCCATTTTTTTTTTTCTGACTATGAAGCTGAACTCTGAGAGACCATGGTGAGGAAGCAGTCTGTTTCCAACACCGAGGGGTCATGTTCAGTTTAGAATAAAGGGTGTGTAGAGCGGAATAGATGAGGTCTGCGAACTTCGGGGCCTGAGTCGGGAAGTAGGGCTTTTGATCCAGCGTTAGTCTTATCATCTCGTAGGTGACTCTGTCCCATTCTACATGACTTAAATTCACCCTATGGGAATAGCTGACCCGCTGTGGGCTGTCTAAGGCTCTTGGTCTTCGGGTGTAGCTTGGTGGTAGACGTTCAGGGAAGCATTTGTTTATCATTCATGAGCTCCTGGGCTCAGTATCCTTCCCCATCGTACCTTCACTGTCAAATACTAATTATATCTACATGAGTGTTGGCTACGATGCATATCCATGCTTAAACTATAGCGATATTTTATTTATGTTTTATAAATAAAGCTTTCCAGAGGACCAGAAGGTAAAACTAAGCCACTAGAGGCCAGGCAGTGGTGTCATACACCTTTAATCCCAGCACTATAGAGGAATATAAGGCAGAATGAGACAGGAACTAGCTCTCTTTCAGTCAGAGGATTTCTTAGAGATAAGAGGTCTCGAGTGGTTGGCTGCTTTGCTTTTCTGATCTTCAGGTTGAGCCCCAATATCTGTTTCTGGGTTTTTATTATCCAAGCTATTTAGAACTCCTAAATTGGCTATTGATTTTTAGAATCAAGATAAATAATAATAACACAAAATAATGATAAATTTGTAAATTTTTCTTCTCCAAAGTCTCCAAACTATTTATCCTAGATGCTAGGGTCAGGTTTGTTTGTTTGTTTGTTTTAACCCCATTATTGAGGTCTTGGCTAGATCATAAAAATAATCCTATACTGGGGCTGGGCATGGCGGTACATTCCTTTAATCCCAGCACCTGAGAAGAACAGGTAGGTGGCTCTTTCTGAATTCAAGGCCAACCTGGTCCACATAGTGATTTTCATGCTGACTAGAGTCACAGAGTGAGACTCAGTCTCAAAAACAAACAAACAAACAAACAAGTAAATAGCAAGCAAACAAATTTAAGCCCCAAACCCTCAAAATTCTACAACCAACCAACCAACCAACCAACCAGCCAATCAAAGTCATTTAAAATCTGTATTAATTTTTTTCTAGAGTATTCTGTGTATATCTTAACTTTATGTGATGCTTATATTTTATGTGGGACTTTATTTGAAGGTATGCTTTGTTTATTTAAGATTTCCTGGGCGGCTTGGTAGGTGTCATTGGTTTGAATGACTCCTAAAAGTCTTCTATATTATAGAGTAGACCAAAAGGGGGATAAAGATAGGAAATTGGGTTAGGGAGGAAAGGGACCCTTGGTGGGAATGAGGGAGTCCCTAATGCCCTTTCAAAGCTAATGTTTAATTAGTTCCCAAAGGAACCAGAAGAGAATTTTAAAATTTTTTTCTTTTTTCTTTCTTTTTTTTTAAAAATTTATTTTATGTGCATTGGTGTGAAGGTGTCAGATGCCCTTGGAACTGGAGTTACAGAAAGCTATGAGCTGCCTTGTGGGTGCTGGGAATTGAACCTGGGTCCTCTGGAAGAGCAGCCAGTGCTCTTAACCGCTGAGCCATCTCTGCAGCCCCTAAATTTTTTTTCTTTTAGTTAACATTCCCATTAGCATTTCATCAGCTGTATGTTCAGCCTCAGACAGAAGCCAATAAATAAGAATCGAACTGCACCACATTTCACCTTCTGATGCCAAGGACTTGC